GTTTAATAAATAAATTTTTGGAATGAAATGAAGTTTTATTTTGAGCGAAAAAATTACAATTTGCAATGTCGTTTTCATTATCAATTAATTTTTATAATTTTAGGAAAGCATGGTTTGTTAGTTTTTGGTTCACCAATTATTTCATTTAATAACTGCCATGTTTTTCTAGCTTAATCTTGTCATAAATTTGTTGATTAGACTACTTTTCGAACTTTACTGGTACTAACATAGCCGAAAGTGAACAGAAAAAATTTTGAATTTGATTATAGAGCCTCAGACTTGATAGATTCATATAAAGCTGGTAAAAAGCGCTGTCAGTGAATCAAAAAAAAACTCTTCTTGCTCCAAACTTCTAACTGTTATTTTTAAAGTTTAGATATTGACTTCATTAAAAGTAAAAGAATACTGCAAGGACAAGCAAAATTTGGCGAAACTTTTACTGAAAAAGTTGATTTAATTAGGAGAAGAGAAACGATTTCAAAAGTTAAAACAAAAATACTTGATTTAAAAAAGACGAAATAAATGTAAGAAGAGTTGCTTTGAAAAAGACGAATTAAAAGAAAACAATGCAATAAGATGCAACATTTTATAACAAGCATCGTATTGATAAAAATAATTATTGGAATTGCGGTCAGCATTCTAAGAACTATTTTTATCAATATGATAGCTTTGGCATTAAATAAATATTTAAAGTGATTTTACTGCCTTTTTGTTGGGATAAAAGACAACGTAAAGTATAGTAAGTTATATTTTCAAAGACACAAAAATGTTAAAAGTATAGATAATTCACAGATAGTTGAATGAAGTATGTAACAAAAGAAAAAACTCTTTGTATAATTCATTGACTGCATGTTTCTGCAAACACGCCCATTATTTGTCAAATGATATTAGAAAAATCTAAAATACTTGTTTAATTATGCGATTAAAAAATGTAAGCGTTTTTTCGCACAATAATTTCTGTTTGCATTAGCACAGGACTTAACAAACATGATATATATATATATATATATATATATATATATATATATATATATATATATATATATATATATATATATATATATATATATATATATATATATATATATATATATATATATATATATATATATATATATATATATATATATATATATATATTTGTATAAGGCTATGCTCGAAACAATAAATAGACGCATACAGAGTAAAAAAATATTTTATTTAAATTAGCCCTGGTCAACCCTACACTTTTATTTGTAAACGTGTTAATTGCTATTTTAAATGATACAAAACAACGTTTCCTTATTTCCTTGGCTGAAACAGCCATCTAATCAAACATTTTTGGCTCAAATAGATTTCAAAATAAGAGTATATATATTTCAACAATTTTCATAAAGTTTTGAAGTTACATTTATATAGATAAGTTGTTTTCAATTGATTATGTTTTATTAGTTTCTTTTAAGTTTTACTGCTTTTTATCAAATTTTTATGTTAGTGCAATTTTTAATCAACCATACGATGTTAATCTGAAAACAACTTAACATCTCAGCTATCTTTTTTGTCTAATTTCTAGTATGAGATAAGGTATTTTAAAGGACTAAATTTTAAACGATTGCAAAAATGCTTTCTATAACGACTATTTTTATATTAACTCCAAAAGCAAGTCAAGTCCAAGCATCAAGAAATCAACTCAAAAAACACGTCAAGTCCAAGAAAATCTTTAGCAATAAAATTTTTCTTCTTTTGGGAGAAAAACCTTTATTGCTAAAGTTTTCTCTTTTTACAAAGCGATTTTTGTCATGTAATTATTCAAGCTTAAAATATAAAATATAATAAATAAATTAAAGAAAATATATTTTATCAATATAGTATAGAAATAAGAAACAATTTTAGTAATGCTTTTATTCGCACACATTAAAGGAATTTTCAGCTCAAAAGTTATACGAACAATTTACTTACTCATTGTTTTAACTATTCAGAAAAAAAAAAGTCGTTAAAGTAAATAAAACTTTAATTTATAAAAATGTTTAAAAATATTGCTAGTTGTATCCTTCTATCCTACCGAAAAAAAAAAACCAGTAATAACTTTAAACAAAATAATAAACATAATACTTAACAGGATATCCTTTAGAATCAATAAAAAACTTATAATTGCTTACAAATAGAACATAAAAACTCAATAAGACGTTAAATTTCTTGTGCTTCATTATGCCAAACATATTTTGATATTAATTATAATATTTCCATATTAATGATTTTATATATATATATATATATATATATATATATATATATATATATATATATATATATATATATATATATATATATATATATATATATATATAAATATATAAATATATATATATATATAAATATATATATATATATATATATATATATATATATATATATATATATAATATATATATATATATATATATATATATATATATATATATATATAGGTTTTAAATTTATATATAAGTAAAAAAAAAATTTTTTGGCTAGCTTTTAGTTATAAATATGAATATAGTTTTTCAAATTTTGCGAATTCAAAGAAAGATACAATAACTTTAGTATATTGATTATGTTGATCCGGACCATAAGTTTTCGAAGTTTTACACTTTTGTGTAAACTACAAATTTGTATTTACGCAGGTTTGTACTAAATAAAGCATTTTGCAATCCTTTGAATGTGCAAATCTGCACTTGTGGATAATGCACTTAATCAGCCTCCCGATAATGATAAAAATAGGTTTAGAGACATTTGGGTATAATCAGCAGACAGTAATGTTATTGGTTTACCTTATTATGTTAACTGCATTAGTTAATGTAATAGCGTTTAATTACCGTAATGTAACATTATTGAAAGTAACTTCGTTTTTCTAATATTATATTTTAAAAATACACCACCAGCCACAAATCGCCTGCACATCGGTTGGGAGCTAAGTGCACCTAAGAAAAATTCAATGTTAGTTACCCAGCAAAGACATTTTGAGTGGAGCGCTGTAGTTTTACTCATAGGTTACTTAGTGGACCATTAGTGGCAGCCGCCAAAAGTGGCTAGTCGAATTCTAGCCACTATTAACATGTCGAAAAGTTATCAACTTGCCATTTATAGTGGCTGCCACTAACAGTCCACTAAGAAACCGATGAGCAAAACTCCAATGAACCGCTTAAAAATGTCAGTATAGTTCCACTGCAAATCCATTGAAACAATGTTTGCTAGGTAGTTAGTTACTAGCTAGTAGTTATCAGGGTCGGACTGGCGAGGGGGTTGGGGTTTTCCTACTGGACCCTTGCTATGCTTGGGCCTCTCGCTATGTTATTGGCCCCTGAAAAAGGTACCTAAAAATAAAAAATATTAAAAAAAAGGTCCTTGATATGTAATATAGAGAAATTTATATATATAAAGCGGCCCTTATGTCTATGGCATCAATGTCTTCCCCCGGGCCCCTAAATCCTAGTCCGACCCTGGTAGTTATTCTAGTTAGTTACTAGCTAGTAGTTACTCTAATTTGATTTTTTTTGTAAAGGCAAAAAATAAATATTCATTCATCTATGTTAGCCTACCCAGAAAACATTGTTTTAGTAGATTTGCAGTGGACCTTTTTAGGCATTTTTTTAGCGGTTTATTGGAGTTTTGCTCATCGGTTACTTAGTGGACCATTAGCGGCAGCCGCTATAAATGGTAAGCCGATAGTTTTCTGACATTTTATTGGTGGTTAATTATTGGCAAATCGTTTTTGGTGGCTTCCACAAATTAAACTGTCCACTAAGTAACCTATGTAACTTAAGTAACTGATTAACTAAGGTTCACTAAGTAACCTATGTAACTTAAGTAACTTATTAGCTAAGGTCTACTAAGTAACCTATGAGCAAAACTACAACTGTCCGCTCAAAATGCCTATATTGGTCCAATCAAATTCCGCTATAGCATGTTTGCTGGGTATGCGCCAAACCCGGTACTTAAAAGGTTTTTTTTATATATATATATTTTTTTAATATGTCTTTAGCATACTTAAGGGGTCTTTATTTCAATTTTCAATTTTCAATTTTTGATAAGAAAAAATCCAAATATTTATTTATATCTTAGTAATACATAATTTCAAGCTGATTGTCTAGACATATAACGCCATTTTTTTTTATTCAGGTTATTTAGGTGCTGCACGACTAACAAACAGTCACAGAGCACCGCGAAAGAGCACGCCTTTTTCTTAAACGATATTCCATATATGGTTAGAGTGTGTATCAAACCTTTTGACTCTGGAGCCAGTGTTTAAACCTATTTGTCTTATTATATAGTGGTTTGAATAATATTTAGAAAGATTTTTACCTCGGTTTTTTAGAGAAAGTACTTCTAATGGTTAAAAATATTTTTTGTGTTACGTACAGTACTCCTTCGTGAATAATTATTCGGCACTTTAAAAATATTTTTAAGATATTAAATGATACCAATTTCTCCTATAGTGCTCATTCTCCAATCGACTTTACCGACGTAAAACGGAGGATTTTCAATAATATTTTAATGTTTTAAGGTTTTTGGTTTGTCTCAAACCAAAAATCTTAAAACATTAAAAGAATACCCTAGAAGATACCCGCCTCAATCACCAAAAGGATTTATATATAAATACACATAAATAACTAATGATAGCTATACAATTTGAAAATTAAGAAACTACAGGGCATCTTCCTAGTTTCTTGAGATATCACGCAGTTTATATTCTTTGAAATTGCGCGTCTTAAACGTTAACGCTAACTTCTTTGAAGATATTGATTTTATCATTTCGTTTTATGTTTTTCGCACTATTTGGGAAATGTTGATTTTAAAATTAAAAAAAAAAACTTTCTAAGTTTATGTTTGCTTTGCAACCAACATAAGTATATTTGTTTTTGTACGAATAAGTTTCATTATTATTAAGTCAATAAGCAAGGTTCATTTTTATTAAGTCAATAAACTTTAAGTTATTTTTAATTTTCCTCTAGAGATTTTTAGAAAAAATATGATAAAACGTTTCGACTTATTGCTGCGATAGATTATTAACGGTTTTTTTTTTTTTAGGCGTCAAGCTATTCGAAGATTAGAAAGTTCAACAGCTTTAAATTGACACTAAAAGAATTAAATTTAGTGTTAAGAGAGTTTTAGGACTGTTTGTATAAAGCTTATTGTTATCATTTTATGAAAAATGGTTTTTATAAATTTAAAGAGAGTACAAAAGTTGTGAGTTTAATTCTTTTTCAGTAAATATGTTTAAAACCTGTTGCTAATAGTTTTTTTTAAACTTTTATTGTTTAACTTTTTATAAATTTGTTTATATTGTGTTAATATCTTTTTTTTTTTTAATCATCTTTTTTTGTTAGTACTATACAGGTGTATAAGTTTTAGGGGAAAGAGGGTAAGAAGTTTTAATTAATTATAATGCCATTAATTTTCAGAGACCAATTAAAATTCTCGATTACAATCATCCACATATTTAAAATTTTTTTCAAAGAAATATTAAAAACTGCTATTAAATCTTCATATGGTCAAGTTAATTTTAAAACAATTGCCAGGAAATCTGTAAAGTGTGCCGCAAATTGGTTCCAATGCTTCAAAAATACGCCGATAAAAAGTTCATTTTATCGTAAAATTATAAAGTATTAATTATAATTTAACAACATGGTTAACTAAAGTTTATTAATTTAAGTAGAATTAAAAATTATAAATGATTAAATCATCGTTTTTAAATAATGATTAAAAATAATAAAACAAAATAAATAATACTGATTAAATGTTATTGATAAACACTGAGTAAAAGATAATTACTAATTTATATTGGTATTAAATAACTAAAAAATAAATATTTTGCGTTACAACCAAAAGTGATAAATTATGTGTAAGACATTTTGTATTTGATTAAAAACTTAAAAAAATAAAAAATTAATTTGAATATAAGGGAAAACAGGGCAAGATGTTTTGAAAGCCCTGAGTTATTGCGAAACTATTAGTCATGAAGCAATAATACTTTGTCATTACGTTTATGTTATCATAATGATTCATTGCCTACATAAATTTTCAGTTTACAAGTAGAAAAATTTACAACAAAAATTAAAAAAAATATCAACTGGTCACGTGACCGGGGCAAGATGACTTATTACGCAAATTCTGCCTCCAATTTCATAAAATTTCCAAAAACTAACAACTACTTTTAACTAAAGTATCAGAAAATAAACATGCGTCGCAAAAAAATATTCTTAAAAAACTTACTTCTGAAGGACACCATTCATTATGAATAACCGAAATCGAGGTTTTTTCTTTAAGCGCAATAAGTAAACTTATTGCGTTAATAATATTAAAAAAAAAAACATTTGGTGTTTTAAAATACAATATGTAATTTTTTTTGAGTTGTTATATGAAAAGCCTTTTTGGTCCGTTTTCCACTATTTGTATATGAATATATATAAATATATATATATATATATATATATATATATATATATATATATATATATATATATATATATATATATATATATATATTTATATATATATATATATATATATATATATATATATATATATATATATATATATATATATATATATATATATATATATATATATATATATATATATATATATATAGGGCGCCGAGAAATTGGGTGCGAAAGAGACACTTTGTCCTGGGCGGCAGATATCTAAGGGGCCCCAAATTAAGAAATGTTCTTAAAAAAAAAAAAAAAATAGGTGATTTACTAATAATATAGAAAAGTTTAGAAAAATCACGGTTTCCAATCACGGTTGCTCTTTGCGTGCCATGTATATATTTACAATAGAATCCCGTTAACTAAATCTGACAAATTTTCAGTTCCCCAGGAACTTTAAATAAAAGTTTCCCTGTCAACTTACTATAAAATCATCCGCTTAAGTTGTACCCTGGTTAAGTCAGACCATTCTCTATGTTTTTTGGGGTCCTTTCAGCAAAAAACTTAGATTAACTTAAATTAGGACTTTTATTTTGACTGCATATAAGTGCCTAACATAACTAAACTTCAAATACTTTAAATAAAGTTTTAAACTTTGAATGCTCGAAAATAAAATACCTTTGCGTCAAATATAATTAAACATAACTAAACTTTTTCACCGATATCATCGATTCGGTCAAGTTATGATTAAATTCTATATATTAATGACTATTTTAGTCAAAACTTAGCGTTCGAAAATAAAAAACTTTTGCGTCAAATATAGTTTAACGAACTAAAGATTTACACTGATATCTTCGATTCGGTTAACCTTCAAATAAATTTATACTATTAAAAATGTCGAAGGTTGCTTAGAGAAAGATAACAAGTAGAACTATAACAATATGTTACGAGTCACTGAAATAAACATTAATTTTGTTTATAGTATATATTATATATACAAAAATATATATTTCACATAAGATTATATATATATATATATATATATATATATATATATATATATATATATATATATATATATATATATATATATATATATATATATATATATATATATATATATATATATATATATATATATATATATATATATATATATATATATATATATATATATATATATATATTATATATATATATATATATATATATATATATATATATATATATATATATATATATATATATATATATATATATATATATATGTACAAAATATTAATATTAATGTAATAATAAAATTACAAAAAAGTTCTAAAAGCATTTACATAATATTTATATATCAAAAAACATTCGTTAAGTCTCGACATCTCGATAAGTCGGATATTTACATTAAGTCGGACAACTTCGCTTATTTCGGGCATTCGCTACGTCAGACAAAATATATATACCCCTTCAGCGGGTATATATATATATATATATATATATATATATATATATATATATATATATATATATATATATATATATATATATATATATATATATATATATATATATATATATATATATATATATATATATATATATATATATATATATATATATACATATATATACATATATATATATACATATATATATATACATATATATATATATATATATATATATATATATATATATATATATATATATATATATATATATATATATATATATATATATATATATATATATATATATATATATATATATATATATTTATATATATATACATATATACATTTATTTATCCATTTAATTTATTTTTTCTATCAACTTTTTTAATCCTTAAATTAAAAGCAGTTTGACCAAAACATTATAAAAATGGAAATAACAAAAACTTTAAAGATATATTAAAATGATTCTTGTAACCATTATTGACTATATTTAACTAACTGCTATTGACTTTTGTCAAAAGACAACGATGATTTAAATACGTTCTAAATACGTTGCTATCTTCAATCAATCAATAAATTTAATTTCAATAAACGTTTCCTTTGTTAATTAACACATTGTTTTAACTTGGAATAGTTGCAATCAAAGAACGATAACTTTTTTAATTCGCCTAGACATAATAATAATCTTGGTCAATCTGCCCAGACATTTTTTGCTAGTATCGGATGTTATGAAAAAATGAATTACCCTTTTCTTTAGGTATTAGATAAATTTTATAAAATTATTAATTAACAGATAACTTATTTGATTTAAAATATTTAGTAAATTAAATAAAAATATTTTCATTTACAAGATAATAATAGAAAGGTTATTTTTAATTAACTAGTTCAGAAACAGAAAGTTCTTCAAGATTTTAATGTTATTGATTTGTCATACACGCGAAACACTTTCTTTTCAATATTTTGATTTTGCGAATGCATTTATGTTTTGAACTTAAATTCTAGTAAAGATTATAAAGTTAACGTAAAAAAAAAAGAACGCTAAATGACATTGATATATAAATATTGAATGTCATTTATTTATTAAACGTTGAATGGCATTGATGTTAGAACATTAAACACGTTGACGTTAAATGACATTGACGTTGAAATGTTGAATGACATTGACGATGAAACATTAAATGATACTGACGGTGAACCGTTAAACAACATTAACGTTAAATTTTAAGTGACATTGACGTCAAAACGTTAAACGACATTGACGTTAAGACGTTAAATGAGTTGACGTTAAAACGTATAAAGCGTATAAAAAATTAAATAAAAATATATTTAAAAAATTCACATTCTTCCTATAGCAGATTTTTGGAAAAGTGGTATATGAGTCAAAAAATTTATTGAAATATTTAGATTTAAATAAATTCAAAATCTAAACAAATACCATTGTACCTTTAAAAGTAATAACTTAAATTGTTTTTCGTTTGACGCAGTTCAACTTGATTTAAATACCAGCAACTAAAAGTGAAAAATTAAGAAATGTAAACATACCAATATAAATAATGCTTGCAAATTATTCATATCCGCGATTTCGTTCGATAATAATTTACCATAGTAACAATAAAATTGTTTTTAAAAACCGTGCTAAACTCTTTATTCAATGCTTATACTAATTTGAAAAGCTCAGCCTTCTTAATGCATCTAACATATTTTCATTCATAAGATCACTTATAACGTTAGAAATAAGGAGTTTTTTAATAAAATTACAAATTTTATTATTTAAAACATTATGCTGAAGAATCGACCAAAAACTTGTTATGTGGGGTATGCAACCTATTTTTTATGCGTGTTATAAAATGTCTTGCATGTCTAAAAATGTGATGTGATAAAGATAGTTCTAATTAATAAAAACCGTTACACGATTTTTTCTTAAATTGATCATTTTAGATATTTCGTTTCTGTATATCTTTGATATAAAAAAACATACTGTCCTATAGGATACATTTAATATATAAAAATATAATTGTTATATATCGATATAAAAAAGTATTGTTCGTTATTGTCAAATGTTTTTGTCATGATGTTAAACTGCACCTTGTGTACAAGTTACAACTTCAACTTCAAGTTACAACTACAACTTCAAGTCAGCAGTAGAGAATTTTTCTGTATTAATCAATGCTATATTATTGTTACCTAAAGTTATATAAAAAGTTTATATATATATATATATATATATATATATATATATATATATATATATATATATATATATATAATATATACATATATATATATAAAAATATATATGTATGTGTGTGTGTGTGTGTAAATGTATGCATGTATTCAAGTAACATTTCTTCAAGTATAAATTGCAATGTATAACTTATGCGTGTTTTTAACAGTAAGTATAACCTTTTTTGCAATAAATCTGCTCATTAGGCCAAATATAAATTGCGTACATTCTATATTTTTTTAAAATATTTTATTTTGTATTGCGTATATTCTTTATGTAAAAAACCTTTTACATTAATTTATATCTTTATGCTTTTTTGTTATTTACATTTTTATGTTATGTTTTTTTGTTTTTTATTGGAGTAAAGTTATCTGGACGTATCAGGATTTATCTGGAGTCACCTTTCTCTAGTGTTTTCTCTAGCGAATTAGTCATTTCTCCAAATGAAAACATTCAAAAATAATATTTAATCTCTTTGCAAATATGAAAAATGGCAGAATATACGCGTCATTTTGTATAACGAACGTCACGTTATTTTCATGTAAATATAATTTTCACGTGAAATAGTATTTTAAAAACTGTAAAGAGAATTTCACTACTTGAAATTCCCTCGACAAAAAACGTGCGCCCTTTTTTATATTACTAATCATTATTTTTATTACAACATTGTTTATATTAGCAGCACTAAAGTAAAAGCATAGTTGTTTTATAAATGTCTATTTGGATTATTTTTTTGCTTAAGTTTGCATAAAAATTCACAAGGCGTACAACGTCATCAATTGTTTCATCCGCAAAAATGTAATGTTTTTATTGAATTTGTTATAATTATATTTATTAAAGAAATTAGTAAAAAATGCTATCTAGGTAAAAGATAAAAAGAAAAGAAAGTTGGTTTTGAGTTTCAAAATAGAAACTTTATAGATTAAAAAGTAGATGACTAAAAAAGTTTTGTTAAAATAAGTTTTTAGAAAATTTTCACCATTTTTGTTATTCTATCTTTCTTGGTTTTGTTATTTAATACTCGATCGTTTCGTTTTTAATGTTGAAAATTCTAAAGTTTTATAAAAATTACCTTATTTTTTTTACTAATAATTCTCACTCTAAAAATAAGTTACGTCATCAATTTCAACGCAAAACAAAATGACTTCAAGATTAAATAAAGTCAACTTCTACTAATATATAAAACTTTCTAAAAACTATATGTTTAAACTTTGACGTTTAGATAAATAAGTTGAAACTTTTTCCTTTTTTTTATGTATGTTGAAACTCTTACGTTTTATTGCATTACTTGTCTAAATAAAATAAACGTTAAATTACAAAATAGTTGACAGCGAAATCTCTTTAATGTTTACCCGATGATGATAGACTTGATAAAGATAAATTTTGTGTCTGAAAAAAATCAAAACATTTTTTAAAAAATTTTTGTTTAGGCGTCCAGCTCAAGACACAATGCATAACTTAATTGAACAATGTTATGATTGGAATCACTCAACTGGTACTGAAATAGCTCATATTGAGCAAGAATGTCATGACAAGAATTGGAAAGTTTTCACATTAAATGATCAACAAGACATATTCAAAAAACAACCAATTCAAAGCTAAAATTATAGCACCCAGCGACTCTTGTGAATGTATGAAACATACAAAAACTGCTCGTAGAAGGCGTTTGAAAAGTCAATCTGGTTATTATTTAGCAATAATGCCTAACGGACAAATTATAGGAAATAGAGATCCATCTAGTCCGCATAGTAAGTCTAGATTTTAATTAATTTGTTGTAATCACGAATGGACAATCTAATTACTAAGAAATAATAAGCATAATGATAATTTTATGATAATAACTTATCAATTTTATATTTTTTGCCATATCATAATGTAACTCAAATCCTGATGTCCTTTATTGACTATTTTGTAATAAAAAAATAAAAAAGCATGATATAATTTAAAATCTAATTGATAAAATATAAATACAAAAAATAAATTTAAAGACGCTTTTTGGTTAATATTTTTATGTAAAAAATGTTTGATATATATATATATATATATATACTATATATATATATATATATATATATATATATATATATACATACATATATATATATATATATATATATATATATATATATATCTATATATATATATATATATATATATATATATATATATATATATATATATATATATATATATATATATATATATATATATATATATATATATATATATATATATATAACGTAATACTTTTTAGTTGAGATTGATGTAATTCCAGTTGGAGCAGACCTTGTAAAACTATGGGCAGTTGAATCAGAACTATTTCTTATGATAGATGATACAGGACAAATGCGAGGAACGGTATGTTTTATTATAAAGAGTATATGTGTATGAGTAGAAGGGTGGGGGTAAAAAGATTATTGTAACCTTGATGATATGTTAGAGAAACTGGCTTTTTCTGATATATAAATCAAAGAATATGATTACTATATTATACGCATACTATATAAAAATACCTTTGCTCGCTTTTTATAAAACTTTATTATTTTGATTATTTATTACATTACTAAAAATAGGAAATTAAAGTTTTTTAAAATGCAGTGTTAAGCTAATCATTCAAACTTTTATCATTTAGGATGTAGATAGTACAGAATGCATATTTGAAGAAACGCTTACAGAAAACTTCTTTACAGTATATTACTCTGCAATGTATTTACACAAGCGTTGGTGCGTTGGGTTGCGTAATAAACCACAAATCAAAAGTTTTTATAGAAAACCTAAACCAACCAAAGACGCTTCATTTTTTTTGGAAATTGTTCATCTACGCCAATCGAACTCATCTTTAAGTGATAGTGAAGATAGCAGATTAAGTTGATAGTATGATATAGTAACTTTAAATCTCAGTGTTTTTTAGGATCAATTTGTTTAAGACATTTTTTGGATTAAAATTTTTGGTTTTCTTCAAGAATTAAAAACTAATTTTACAATAAAATATTTATGCATTTTAAATTCTAAGAATATTATGCAATTTAGAGGTTTATTAAATTTTGATTTTTAAATATAGGTATCGTATTTGCCATTGGTTTTGCAATGTCTTTTTATTTAAATCATCATTGTAACTATGGCGCCCGAATTATTTTCTTTATATATATATATATATATATATATATATATATATATATATATATATATATATATATATATATATATATATATATATATATATATATATTATTATTTATATATTTTTTATAAACTTTTTAAACAGAAAACAAATTTTCTCGTTTCTATTTTTATATTTGCAAGACATGACTTTTGACTTTTAACATAAAAGAAAGTATTTATATAGGGTGGAGAATTTGATACGAATAAACAAGTAAACTATGTTAAAATGACATGCCATTAAATTAATGAAAATATTTACCGGTTCTCTGTTATGTTGGACATTGATTAAAATTTTTTTTCCTTTGCTGTGTCTTTATAAAAACTTTGCAATCAATTTTATTGCTGATATTTATATTCTATTTTTATTATTAGATATCACTATTTTTAAACATATATTTTTTGCTAAAATTTTAATTAAGGATAACTATATGTCGTCAAATCATGTCTTTTAAATATAAACATTGTAAATAAAAGTCTGTTTTTTTTGTTTTTAAAAAAAAAAAAAAAAGTCCTGTCGCAGTTTGTGCTACGAAAACTTTTGGAAATTCCCTTCTTTACTTAGAAGAGATAACTTTTAATCTTTGTTTATATTACTTTTAAAAATAAGTATTGCATACTTATAATATTTTATTCAGTGAATATTCTTAATGTACATGTGCGCACATTTTATTCAGTGAATAACAAAAAATGCTCTAAATGAAATTTTTTTCAATAATATTGTAAATTTTTAGGATTTGTGTTTAATTTTATGGCTATACGAAGTTCACTATAAATGTATTGTACAAATTAAATTTTTTTAATGAAGAATGTTTAATGAAAAAAAAAAAATTGACAAATTGGGCGAAGGTGTTTTGTTTTATGCTGTTTTGAAGTTCAAGGGTTATTTTATTTTTAAGCATTTTTAATAATAGCTTAACTTTTTTATTTGATTTACTGTATTAAATTTACATGTTAAACTAGAGCATAGTACTGCCCTGCCATGGTAGAAAAATGCAAATCATCCAGACGTAATTATATATTCGCAAAACAATAATTTTTATCTAAGTTAATATAGTTAGGTAACTGTAGACTGTCAACTCAAATAAGAAATCTCCACACCTAAACCATTGCCCAATTTTTATCCCGATGTCGTAACACTGCGTATAGCTATTACACAAACTACATCAGTTACAAAAACTCAATTCTGCAATAAATATACTCTCGGTACGTACGAATAATACTTCAAATGAACGTTGCTTGTGTTAAACTTGTATAGGGCTATGTTTATTATTATCCAAACCGCTACAGTATCTGATAATCTAATTAATGGAGAGCCAGTTTTTCCGGGTATAATAATTCTGTGCTTTCTGCATAAAAATTGACTAGTATAGCACAATCTAGTTTTAATAACATAATCCTTGAAACATCAGCTTCATTAAATAAATTTTACAATAATTAAGAACATTCTTTATTAAAAACTACATAGCAATTTATAAAAAGTTTTTTAAAACACCGCATGCTGTCAATAGACTATTTTTTAAACTATGAAGAAGATGTTGAAGAAAAGATGAAAGAAATTACAAGAAAAACAATAAAAGGTTTTTCAACAAAGGTTTTTTAATTAAAATCAAGTGTCAGAAAACTTTCAACCCCTGACTTTGATAGGCAGTTAATTTAATATAAATTAGTTATATGCTTTTTATTTCAATTTTATTGGTATAAAATTTAAAGGGCCTCTAAACTAACTAGATCTTGGATAGAGATTGCGTTTAGCGGTCAGCTAAATCAGCCTATAACAGAGACTCGTGACAGTGTAAATTAAAAAAAATCATTTACAATTAAAATCTTTTTTTTTATATTTAATTAATTTCTAACAAGGCTAACTTTTTTTTTCCTTTTCACAGTTAAATAAACACATCCACCATTTGCAATGTCATTGCAAAGATAAAAGTCACGCTTACAGCTGAAGCAGAAATAAAATCCACAATAACTGGGAATATTAATGGAATATTACTTCCCGGATCCTACCTTTTGTTAAGTTCCAACACCGGTTACTACTTCAAGTTAGACATTAACAATTTTACAAAGAAATATGAGTTATCAATTGCCTCTTGAATAAATCTGCTGAATTTAACATATAAACAAAAGTGCAGGAAATTAAACTTTAAAAAAGTGCAGGAAATTAAACTTTACATTGTCAACTTTGTCAACGTTGAAAAAAAATTCAAAGTCGAATCAAATAAAAAAAATATATAGTATTTAAATGTTCAAATTTTTACTTTTTTGAAAATTAAAAAATAGGATATCAAAATAGACCTAAATGATTCTCATAGCAGTCGTTTAGTCAAATTCTATGTTGTTTGCGGCATATTTACCAAACTGCAAAATTCACTAACTTTTTATGAATATAAAAGTATAATGAAAGTGAAAAAAAGATTTATTCCCTTCATATCTCTCTCTCTTAATCCGGGCTTGATTAGCTTCATTATGTTAAATTTATTTACCGTATTTGGGATGAAACCTAAACAGTTTTAAAGTAAATGTAGTAGATGGCGCAAGGCATTTCACTTTTCTTTCATTTTTACAAGCAAAACAATGTTAAGGTACATTATAGATTTACATAATTACCAGACTTTCATGGTTGAAATGACGTTTTTTAAAGTGCGTATTTAGGGTATTTGTATTAAGGATTCATATGAGTATATCGTGATTTGCAATTTCGCTTTTTTATATCTGCAACTAATAATAATATTTTTGTATTAACATAACAAATTAAGTATGTATGTTTCAAAAAACACAAGACTCTCTATGGAAACAAAATTATTAACTTATTTAGGCACAAAATCTCATTCCATCTTAAGCGCTAACTTTAAAGGACACCTAGAGAAAAAGTTTTTTAATCTAATTAGCTTTACTTCTAAAAGAAAATGCAAATTTGGTAACATCTCAAGATAATCATGTTTTCATGCAGCTGCTTAACTTTTTTATTGTTTTATAACATAATTTCTAAAAAAATATATATTTTATTAAGAGATCTCTCTTTTATCCATTGTTGAAGAACAGTGTCAATTAGCAGCCGAGAGAGATCTCTTAATAAAATATTTCTTCTTAATATATACTTTCACAGTGTGAAGTCATCTTAAGAAGAAATATCTTATGTAACGCTGTTAAAGAAAATAGAAAAAAAAAAATTTAAACTTTTTATTTGCTGTGGTGATTACAACTTGCATCAACTGAACTCAGTGCCGGATCAAGAGGTGATGGGGGGGGGGGGGGATTATAGCCCCGGGCCCCGAAAATTTAGGGGCTCCTAAAAATTTTTTCATTTTTAGGCTCTGGTTCATAAAAAGGCCTCTAAAAACAAAAATAGCCTCGGGGCCCAAAAAGTCTTAATCCGCCGCTGAATGAACTATTATTCCGAACTGCTGACTCATGCAAACAATTAAAACTTTTAATAATATTCCTGAATTTTCAATAATTTTTCATAATTTTGAAAATAAATATCACTTTTTGCGCCCATTAAATCTTATTTGTCAAAATAAAGAAAAAAACTAAATATTTGATTGAGGTGTATACTTACTAAACTGGATAGTTTAATTAATTTAAAGAATGGTTTTACTGTACCTATTGGAAAGTCTTTATCTAAAGTTTTTATCTAAAGTAACTTAACGTAGGTGGTTTACTATAATTTATTATCCCAGAGCTTTTATGGAAAACCGAAAAAAAGGCCTAATTTAATAAACTGCTGAAAAAGTTCAAAGTTTGCACTATAACAATATATAATATATATATATATATATATATATATTATATATATATTATATATATATATATATATATATATATATATATATATATATATATATATATATATTTAATGAAGAACTATTCAAAATATATATATATATATATATATATAATATATATATTATATATATATATATATATATATATATATATATAATATATATATATATATATATATTATATATATATATATATATATATATATATATATATTTAATGAAGAACTATTCAAAATAAACGATTGGTTTACAAGCAATAGGCTTTCGTTAAATGTAGAAAAATCTAAATTTATTTTATTTTCCAAACCTAGTAAAGGTGATGATGTTCCTCTAAAATTACTTAATCTCCTAATCAATAAAACATTTATTAAAAGGAAACCAATCGTTAATTTTCTAGGAGTAATAATAGATGAAAATTTGTCATGGAAACCACATATAAAATATATAGAAAATAAAATATCAAGAAATATTTATATATTATATAAAACTAAACTCTTCTCTAAAAAAAAATATACTTTTCATTTATTCATAGTTTTATCTCGTACTGCAATATTGTATGGGGTAGTACTAACTATGGTAAGTTGAAAAAACTTCATAGTAAGCAAAAACATGCATGCAGGATTATATTTGGTGCCCACAGAACTTTTCAATGTGAACCTCTTTTAAGGAAGCTCGGTGCACTAAGTGTCTATAAACTTAATATACACCAAGTTCTACAGTTCATGTTTAAAACTAAACATGAACTCTCTCCAATTGTATTTCAGTCTTATTTTAGTGAAATCTCGCACAAGTATCCTACTAAGTTTTCAATTAATAACTTTATTGTTCCAAAAACTAAATTCAAAACTAAATTCTAACAAAATCCAATACCGCGGACCGTTTCTATGGAAACATTTTTCAAAATTTATCACAAAAAATAATAATGTTCAACACATCTCTTTGAAAAAATTCAGAAAAGAATCTAAGAATCTCTTATTACAAAAACACTTTGATTTAAA